CTGCTACTGCTACTGCTACTACATCTACGGCGACGACGACTACGACTCCCAACACGACGACGACGAACGACTGATCCTGCACTTGTGCTGCGACCCTGATTTGGACAGAGTGGCAACAAGTCGCAATCAACGTCACACATCAGATGAGATGAAACACATTGATACGAGGTGAAGTTTTGTAACGTGAAGGGTTGAGACACTGAGGCGAGATGTGGAAAGGCTGTGCCTCGCCCTGAGTATCCATGCAGCTTAGGGCGCCACCTTTCGAAGACGGGTGCTCGAAAAGCTCGTGCTCTTCCTGCCCGAGACTGGTCTCCAACAGCGTACAATCCCCCAACCTTAGATGCCTTAGATCACACCAAGCAGCTACACAGCCGCCATAGCAAAAACCCTGCATCCTCGGAGGAAAAGGGAATTGATACTGTGACCGTGCTCAAATTGATGCTGCTGCTCATCCTCTCACCCGAAAGCCTCAACCCCCAATGTCTCATGTTTCGTGGCGCTGGATGAATCGTTTACAGGGACTGCGTCCCTGCTAACGGAATAGCACCGCTTCTACCACCGAAATGCAGGAAGGCACTTGATAGGCCTTGGGCCTCTCGAAAAAAACGCACTAAAACGCTCGGTGTTAGCCGGGTTTAAGGCTGAACAATCTTCTAACCCCTGCAAAACGCGGCTCGCACCCCAAGCACTCAAGCCCCGCCCCAAAGCCCTTCAGCCAAACCCAAAACACATCCTTAACGCTGGCCTTCGAGTATCCGGCCGGCCGTCGCTGGTCGGACGGCGGCCTCCCCGCGGGTTCGAAGCCGCTGCTCAGTTTTGTGGGGGCTCGTCTGAGAGCATGCCAAAGAAGAGCGGATTTTTGGGAACAGCATGAGGACGTCTCATGAGTCTTCTCGTTCGTTTCATTTTTGCTCTGGGCATTTCTGCTGTGCGCTGGCCGAGGTGCAGGGCTTCCAAGTGCTTGGCCAGCCTAGATGCGAACAAAGTCACCTGTGTGTGGCTCCCTTACAGAATCTTTCCGAGCGCTCGACTAGCGGTTGCTTGCGAAAAAGATCAGCCAATTGGGCGACGGAAGCTTTAGTGTTGGGTGAGGGGAGTCTCTAGGCAATTCTAGAATGCGTTCATAGGAACTGAAAAATCAATGGGTGAGGTATATACGGGTTTATGCGGTTTGCGGCATCATAGCACCTTGTTATCCGGGCTGCTGCTCTACTATCAGACATGACTACTAGTAGCAGCAGGTGTGGTCCCGCAAAGTGTCAGCCAGAGTGGCACGCTGGGGGACGAGCTACTGTTATGATGGTCATGACCATCATCATCAGCAGCAGCAGCATCAGCATCATCATCAGCATCAGCATCATCTTCATCATCAGCATCATCATCATCGTCATTCTGATTATCATCGCCATCATCATCACATCCTCACCATCTGCTTCTGTGTCGTCGTCGTCATTGGGGAACTCTACTGCTTCATCATCACAGTACCACCGCCACCACAAACATCTCCATCGTCAACATCACAAAAGCGCGGTAGTCGCGGCGAATTCTCAATCGATGATACATGGGAGCAGGGAGAGCGTAGCTTGCAGGTTTGACGAGCGAACCGCGGTAGCTACTTAGAAAATAGAAACACGAAGTCTGGGTGAACTGGCACGAAGGCGGTAGACGAGGACTGAAATGCCTGAACACCAAGAGTACCAGGTACCACCAGCACCTGAGGTTCTAAAGTCCGACAATGGCCTCCAAGGCCCCGGGGCGTAGGGCGGTTCGACCTCGCGGCCCAGCAACTTGTCGAAGATGCTCGCGTCCCCTGCAGAAAGCTCGTGATAGAGTACCCGGCAGACAGAACTCTGTACACTCCGGCTCTCCTCACCAGCTGGTAATGGTAGTAAGTAGTAGTACGTGGTAGGTGGTAATCGTAGTCAGCAGCAGCCGCCGCCGTCGTCGTCGCAGCAGCAGCAGGAGTGGTTAGTACTACGCGTCGTTGCCGTGCTACCATCTACCTACTGTCTACTAATACCTGCTGTCTACTATCCACTTTTTGTCTAAGACACTCCTCCTCTGCCTCCTGCTCCTGATCCTCCTCCTCCCGCCGCCGCCGCCGCGACGATTGCTGCTGTTGTTGATGCTCAATGCAGGACGGACGGTTTGTTACAAGTGACAGGCTTGGCTAATTAGTACCCGTACCACTAGATTACGAGAAACATCGCCATGAGTTCAAGGCCCTGGCCAGGGATCTCAAAATACGAATGGCTGAAGACATCCTGGCGCAAGGGGAGCTGTCTCCAACAACCGGGCCAAGAGGAAAGAGTCTCAGAAAGAGAGTAATCGGTGCCATGGAAGTGCCTAGGCTACACAGCTAGGAATTGCCACCGTCGTGGGACGGGCCTTTCCTAGACATTTCTGGCTCCACCTGCGACGAACTAGCCTGCAGGGCCATGCTGGCCAGAAACCACACCAATTCATGCGGTAGGACACAGCCGAAGGTTCTGGGCTACGATTCTGGGGAACCGCACGCCCAACCCTGTCTCGACGGTTTCTGCAAGCCCAACCCTGCTGTATGTGCGAAGACTGCATCTTGTCCACGAGCGAGCCAAAGACAGTTCAAACCCCTCAACACCAGCTCTCGACGCGAAATGACCCTGCATGAAGAACCTAGTGGCACCAGCAACGCCAACTGGGATATTCTTAGGGAACAACAACCCCAGCAAAAGAAACCTGTAAACACTTGACAAGATCGACACAACAAGGCGCGTGCATGCGGGAGGCAAAACGAGCAAGCCCCTTAGAGTGCTCGAAGGCTGCTGTAGAGCAACACAAAAAAGAAGGAAAAAGACCTTAAGAAGTGGAGCGCTGACTGATGTAGCAGGGACATGCAAGACAAGAAGTGAGCATGTAAGAAGGATCTTGGCATAAAACCCCCCTTGTTTGGGTCCCCCACAAAAAGTACCGCGCCCTTATAAAAAGGACCTAAAAGGAACCCTATGTTCGCTTCATGTTGCGTCTGAGGCCGCGACCTGTCGACTGAAGACAATACAAGCCGTTTCAGGTGAGTTTTATTGATGCAAAGAAGAAACGAAAAAAAGGCGGAACGCGACTAAAGTCGTGGAACTGCAGTATCCATGTGGTGTGGTTGCTGCTGTTGTCCAACGACCTTGAACCCTATTTTAGAGAGCTACGCTTAGAGAGACAGAAATCGCTCCTGGAGTCCGTTGACACCGGCACCGAGGCGCTTCAACACCTCGGAGGCCAAGGAGGGATCAAGGGCTTAAACTTAGGATTTAGGGTTTAGGGTTTAGGGATTTAGGGTTTTGGGGTTTAGGGGTTTAGGGTTTAGGGATGGAGGTTTAGGGTCTAGTTTCAGGTCTGTACCCAGCAACGTTGAACAAAGGGATCCAAGATCTCAGGCCCTTGGAGTTCAGAGATTAGAAATGTACCAAGGCGACGTCAAGCATAAGTCTCAACCAGACATGCCGTGTTACACGTGAGATAAGCGCGTACCTGTGTGTGGTTGTGTATACATACACATAGTCAATAAATGAATAAACAGAGAGAAAGAGAGAGAGAGAGAGAAAGAGACAGATAGATAGATCGATAGATAGATCGATAGATAGATCGATGAATAGATCGATAGATAGATCGATAGCTATGTCGATAGATAGATAGATAGATAGATAGATAGACAGACAGATGGATCGACAGACAGACAGACAGACAGACAGACAGACAGACAGACAGACAGACAGACGGACGGACGGAGGGATGGATGGATGGATGGATAGACAGATAGATAGATCGATAGATAGACAGACAGGCAGACAGCTAGATAGATGGATAGATGGATGGGTGGATGGCTGGATGGACGGATAGATGTAGCATTCACGCATGTTCTACATTTTATATACCTATACACATACGTATCCAGCAGACTTTAAGGAAGAAAGCAGTCTCCCCCCCGGGTACACTACCCACCGCCACACACTCTTTCGGCCTCCACCTGGGGCTGGAGATTAGATCATATTGCATCATGTAACAACATACTCTCGAACTCTTTGTCAAAAAAAAAAGCAACCCCTCGCCTCTAAACCCCAGACCCCCAAGAAGTACAACCCATCCAACTCGAAAGCCCTGTCGGTCGGGATTCTGAGCCTTGCAGTAGCGTCCCAGCGCTCGGGTCTTGCGTGTTTCAGTATGGCACACTGTGGCGGCATGTGTTTTCCCAGTTGCGATTTCGGCAAAGATTGCCCATGTTCATAGCAGGGGCCTGGCCCTTCTTGACGGACTTGGGCCTTCTGTTTAGAGCCCAGACTTTGGGGGTTGGCCTAGGGTGACGGCCAGGAGGATGATGTTACTTCATCACAGCTACTGACAGTCTGCCCAGTATAAGGCCTGCCGTAAGCAATGACTCTCACAGCATAGAAGCGGGCAGTGCATTCAATTTGAATGTAAATTTAGCGAAGTGCCCCAGAGTGGCGCTACTCTCTTATTATTATTATTATTATTATTATTATTATTATTATTTTTTGGGTTCTTTTGATTTCGGACACTGCGGCAGAAAGTGCCCGTGCACCCTATGCAGACAATCACAATACCCAGTAGCAACACTACTGCCGGGAGGCTTTAGCAGCAAGCCTCAGACTCCCACGGCAGAGCCCGTCAAAAGGAAACCTGAAACCGCAACCCCGAAAAAAAACAATAAGTTTTGAACACTGTGCCAAACTTTATCTTGAGGGCGGCAAATCTATTCCCGGAAGAGAGGCTACTACGAAGGCCAGAACAGTTAGAGTTCTGCCAGGGCTTCGGGGTGAGCTGCATGAGCAAAGCAGACAACTTGGAATCCTAAGGCCTAACGGCCTAATGTGCTACTGCGAATTCTGGGTGCGGGTGTGTGAATGCGAAGGCTTCACGGTTGTTTAGGGCCAGTGGTCGGCTTGTGCTTTTGAAGCACCGCTGTCCGTCCACCGGGGCTACAGTCCTGGGTTCGGAATTCGGGATCTAAGGTGAGGACTGCTGGGCTGTCGAAATTCTATCACCATATATGCAGAAAGAATATAGATATATATGTATAAAGATCTAAGATGTGGGCACATCTATGAACATTTCCTGTGTTACTCTTCTCTGTCACGCCTTTCGGATCAATGCCACCTAGGAGCCGGCTGCGTCAGCAGCCCCTTGATGAGGTCGCGGCCCACCTCGTCCTGTAAGCTTCAAGAGTTTGGGGCTTGGGGTTTACGAGGCCTAAGCCTTGAAAAAAACAGAACGCTATACCCCGAAGCCTCAAGCCCGAAGCCCCGAAGACCCCCAAAAAAATCCGAACACAGGAACCCTTAGCTTGGTTTAGTCCAACGTCCACTAAATCCTCATAAGGGTCTCAAAGGGCTTCAGACCCTGAGCCCTCCTTGTACGCGGACGGAAACTTCAGCTTCCCCCGCAGAATGGCAGAGCACACCTGTCGCCTGGGTTGAGATGTTCGGGGGTTTGGCCATTTGAAGCGTGGAGGTGGGGTTTACACCTTATAGACCCGAAACCCTACAAGCCCGAACCGAAATGAACAAGGCCTAGAAAACTCTGCTAGGTCGCGGATTCTCTGGATCAAGCTTCACGACTGGAGACTTTGGTGGGTTGCTCGGGGCAGCTCTTGGAGTTGAGGCTCCAGGGTTCTGGGACGGGGCCCTGAGTTTTACCCGCGGTTCGGAGTGAAGTCAGCCTCGTGGATCCTGCTAATGGAGGCCCGGAAGCCAAAGTCAGAAATGTCGGACTCCCGATTCCCAAAACTCAAAATCCCTCAAACTCCAAAGCCGCAATTTGTGTCGCCCAATCCACGAAACAAAGGGCTTGAGGGGCATGTGAAGGCCTTGCAGGATCTTTTCAATGAGATTAGAATTGTTCACCTTGGGACATCGAAAATCCTAGCAAAGGAGCTGCGTGGCGAGGACAAGGGTGGCCGGGTAGACATATCCTTCTGGCATTCGAAGGAATTCGTCTTTCGATGAAAACCGAGACCCAAAAACAAATCCTTCAGCCCAATGTGAACCCTAAATTTGGGGGTTCCTCCCGCTGGGCCGCGCGCGGCTCGTTGAGGCTCGAGGCAAAAGGCAAGTAGCCACAGACCTGGACAGCCAGAAAGGCAAGAAAACAGGCAAATCTCAAGCAACGATTATACGATTCCCAATGTCCGCATAAGCAGTAATGCCAACACAAGTGGTAGTGGTCGTGATGGTGGTAGCACTAGTCGTCGGAGTAGTAGTCGTCGTTGTCCTCCGCCTCGGCTTCCTCCTCCTCCTCCTGCTACTGCTACCCTGCAAGATAGTGGCGCTCGAAGCGTAGTGGTGGTGGTGGCAGCAGTGGCGCAGCAGCAGCAGCAGCAGCAGCAGTAGCAGGAGTAGGTGTAGGAGTAGCAGCAGTAGTAGGCTCGGAGTCGGAGTAGGAGTAGTAGTAGTCGTCGTCGTCGTAGTCGTAGTCGTCGTCGTCGTCGTCGTCGTAGCCGTAGTCGTAGTCGTAGCCGTAGTCGTAGCCGTAGGCGTAGTCGTCGTCGTCGTCGTCGTCGTCGTCGTCGTAG